GAAYCGAACCCAGTGCCTCACACATGCCAGGCAAGTGCGCTACTGCTAAGTCTCAGTCCCAGCCCTAATACTGGTTTCTTGATTACCTGAAACATAACTTCTAAGACAATTCTCATTCTTACTTCTTGACCAAATCTCCTCCTCCTCCTCTTCCTCCTCCTCCTCCTCCTCCTTCTTATTATCATTGTTGTTGTTRTTATTATTTTATGATGGCAAATTCCAGTTGAGATTACCAGTTATTACATCAGTAAGATTTTGTTAGTAAAACAGAAAATAATCTTGGTATATTATGCTAGGAGTTGTTTAACTATTGGAAAGTCTGAGAATAAAAATGTGGAAGACAATTTTCAGGAAATTAAAGCAGACATCACGGGAAAGATGTCCTTATACTCTGAGCTGTGTGTACACAGAAGAGGTAAGTCTCGTGAGAATTTCTAAATGTCTTGGACAGAGTTCCTCCATTGTCATCCATTAATGCCAATGCACAATGCAGCTTGTTCTAGGGAATTTTGGCTTCCCTTTTTTCCCACTTCCTGTATCATACAAGTAGCTTTCATTGGTGGAATCTAACTGGAAGCTTACAGGCAAAAGATTTAGGGGAATGTAGTTTTACAGATTTATGTCCCTTGAGTATAGGAAAGATTTTAGATAGGTGAAAGTGGTATTGAATGTCAACTAATGTGGCATAGAAAGGAAATTTATTTGATAGTAGACATTCTAGATAGTTCAGTAGAATAAGAACAAATAAAATTAAAACTTCCTTTATTTGGTGAAAATCTGATTGTCTACATTTAAAGCATAGGAGAATCCACAAATTTAAATAATTCTTTTATACAAAATCACTTGTGGTCCAATACATCAACAATTAGAAAGTRGAGTTTTTATTACAAAAGCAACAAAATTTCCAGGATACCAAAAATAACATTAAACAAAAGTAAGTAAGGCAATTGTAGGAAATAAATGACAAAACCCTTGGGAAATGCAAAAGAAACTAAATAGAGAGATATACCATGTTCATTGATGAGAGTCTTCTGTATTGTGAAAACAACAGCTTTTTCCAAATTAATCCATCAGTCCAGTACAATCCCAATCAAAATTCCAACAGTGATTTTTTTKGTTTATTTCTTTTGTTTGTTTAGTACAGAACTTGACAAGCTAATTAAAAAATTCATATACAAGAACCAATTAAACCAAGCAAGAGTTTAAAATAACTAAGATAGTTTTTAAAATATGGTAAAAGTTATTATCCATAGTCAAGACATAGTATAAAATGATGATAATGAGTATTATCAGGCTTAAGAAAGACACTCAAGCCTGTATTCTTGATATCTGACAGATATGTAATTACAGATCACCTAGGAGATAATGGATTGTTTAATCAATAATGTTTGCCATATGGAAAAAAATAATTAAATCTTTAACTCACATCACATGCAAAGGTCAATTCTAATGAAAAACAAATTCTTAGAACTCAGAAGAAAATATGGGAGACTATTGAATTTCAGATAGTTTTTTAAAAAAAGCTGYAATAAAAACATCAACTGAAAAAAAGGTATAAACCTGATTCCATAAAAATCTAAAACATTTGTTCTACAAAAGTAACCATTAACTAAGCAAAAAGATAAGCCATAGAGAGGGAGAAAATAATAGTAATGGATATACTGGTATAGATTTTGCATCTAGAATTTGTAAAGAATGTAGTAACTCACTCTCATGTACACCCTGGAGAAATTCTTGAATATCAGTGAATATTGGTTCAATACAAAATAGAGAAAAATGTTTACTGAAATCTTCCAAAAATGAATTTTTTTTGGTACTTGGGATTGAACCCAGATCACTTAGCCACTGAGYTATATCCCCAGCCTTTTTTATTTTGAGATAGGCTCTTATTAAGTTGCTTAGGACCTTGCTAAGTTGATGAGGCTATCTTTCAACTTGCAATTCTTCTGACTAGCTCCCTGAGCTGCTGGTATTACAGGCAGGCTCCACCATGCCCAAATCTCAATTCTTGGTTGTTATAAGTAAATGTCCATTAATTAAGMGAATTGAAAGCAAACTGTGTCTTAATAATATATTGGAACAATATATACAGCAGATAAAATACATGAATCACAGGTATATATACATTGGGATAATAAAAATTAATCCTGAACAAAAAAATCAAATTTCAGGAAGATATACACTATGATGGTTAAATACTTTTAATGTATAAAACACTATTAAATATATTTTGGATATTTTTATTTACATCTGCAAAATTTGTACTGGTTTAAAAACATGCATGGAAATGATGAACTCTAAATCTAAGAGAAGTTGAACGTGACCAAGGAAGGATACTCAAGGACTTTTCAATTGTAATACTTCTTAAAAATCAAACAAAAACAAGAAAATATCTATAGCAAATATGAAAAATTCTGGCTATCACAAGATGATGTGTGGATGCTGTTTTCTATTATCTGTCTTAAAAATTTTTACAAGTATTAATAAATGAAAAGAGAAGGGAAAGTGAAATGACAAAATTTCTTTCCCTTGCTCTGTATCCCTGTGAATCATGCTCCCTGCCAACCCTTCTCTGAAGATTTAGTCTCTAGTACAATTTAGAGAATACTATGCTGTGAATRGACAGACATTTTGTGTGGGCTGTATTAATCACCTCTGAATACCATGTTGACCCTTGGGACAACTGTCTTTTGAGTTCCAAATGATCATTTTTATGTCAYGATAAATTGGAGATTATATGATAGTATATGGTTTCAGCACATTGGCATCTTCTTTTAGCTCAAGACAATTGATCAATAAAGTAGCTGTCAGAATTATTAAGGGATTAGGACCCATTCAGCCTTTGATAATGGCTTGAAGTTACTAAAGATACTACAAAGCTTTCTGAATCATCATCAGAAAATAAAACATTGTTCAGTGTTATTTTGTAGCAACTATTATCAGTTTCCAAAGAATTAAAACAGAGGTCATTTAAACTGGATATTTATTTAACTGGATTCCTTCTCTAGCCATTCTTACTGATGTTCATCAGAGTAAGTCACTGAACCCCAAGAGACTCCCATCATGCTCCCCCTACTTTTCCACACAAGCATTTCCTCACCCTGGCCTCTGTTCTGGCCTTAAAAAGTCCACACAGGTTGATGAAAGCTTCCCTTTTTGAACTAGAACAATCCTTGGGTCACGTATCCTCAGGCTGGATTGATTATAAAATTATTTTCTTTCATTGTCATGTGTGTATCACCCAATTTCAGCAATGGCAGTTCAATAGTAAGCAGCCTTTCTTTTAATTAGAAAATGTTCTTGTGACAGCATACAGCTCGAAATTGCTCTTTATAAAATGAGCATGTCTTTGTTTGCAAAATCCACTCGATTCTTGATGCTGTGACTGGCAGAAGAATTGCCAGAGAGTTGGTTGGTGACTGGATTGACTTTTCCTAGGAATCCTGTAGCTGTACAGCCAGGGAAATGCTAATCACTCCCCCATTGTCGGTTTTCTGACAGCTCTTTCTGTAGAACAGTTTGAAGAGTGAAGAGCCCTGTTTCTGAGACAGAGAAGTGTTTTCACACCTGAAGTGTAATTTCACACCTTGTGTTTCTCAGCAGATAAGTGCATAAAATAACACATCAAACCGGAATAGAAAAAGATCAACATACAAAGAAAACTGCAGGTTGTAATTTCTTTCCTACTTTATAGTGCTCTTGGAGAGAACAGTAAATTACAGAGATCTGGGTTTACACTTTAAAAAGTTTGACTGGTCGTTAGGTGGGGAAGTGAGCTGTAAACACTAATCAGCTAGCTGCCTGCATGCAAAGAATGTACAGAATGATGGAATTTGGAAAACACCCTAACCTTTTGAAGTATTTAAAGTACGCAATACACATCTGAGTTAGTAAAAACTGTAGTTAAGGGAAAAGTTTTTTTTTTAAAAAAATGATAAATTCAGTGATTTAATAAAATATAATTGAGATGATTTCCATTTAGGAGTTTTGGCAAAAGTAGACTATGTTGGTAAAATTTGGATGTTTTCTTTCCTTTCTATAAGCAACTAAAAATATTATTCTTGTGACTATTTTATAGCATCCCAGTGCAGGGGTTATAAAAGGAGAGGTTTGACTTTGTTTCATAAGTTTGAAAACTTGAGACTAAAAGAAGAAAGAAAGTTGATATTTCTGGCTAGTCGTGAACATGCATCACAAAATATTTGTCGAAGGTTGAGCACATGTTAGGCACTGGGCTAGGCTTCAGGGACATGATGGGAACAGGCAGTTCCTCTCTACCATTGGGTAATTGACAGTCTTTGCAGACAAATAAGTGTTCAGTGATGATACAGGYGATAGGCTAGGTTTTGGTGGAGGCTTCGGAACGGTTATCTGAACCAGGTCTAGTGGGAGAAAGAAGTCAGTAAAGATTTCTGGAATAAAGTGATATCCAAATGGAACTTAATTCATAGCACTTGTGGAAAGGTGGGTATCAGTTGGGATATGAGGGTGTGGAGAGTGTGCACCAAAGGGAAAGGGGAAGGAAGAGAGCAGGAGGGTTGGAGTAAATGAGGCRGTCCAAAGGATATGCAGACAACAGATAATGAGAAGAGAAATGACTCTTTAACTCAGTCACAAAGCAGTATTTTGATGATGAAAAAAATACATAGATAAAAATATATGTATATATGTGAAGAACTGGTCAACCAACACCATTACACACACATTACCGGTGCACCTATGTACACACCCTGTGCAAGTAGAGGTTCTAATGAACATGAACAATGTGTTGGAAGGGAGTGGCATGAAACATCAGGCATTCAATGTAGTAATCCCTGTCCTTAATAATTTATGTGAACTGTGTTACTCCCAAAGCAAGGACTGGGCCCAAGAGTACGCATCAGTACATTGAAAGGAAAAATTTGCAGGCCATGTAAATATTAAACTAAACTAGCAAAACAGAAAACACTGGTGTTCTCTCATCTCCCAACCCTACTTTTGTTTTGTTTTGTTTCCCATAGATACATATGGAAAACTCTTTCTACTCAATTCTGTGGGCCAAGAGATGTCCCGATGCAAGACATCCATTCGCCGTGGTCAGCCCAATCCTGTTTATAAGGAGACGTTTGTTTTCCAGGTGGCGCTCTTTCAGCTCTCTGATGTCACATTGATGATTTCCATTTATAACAGGCGTACTATGAAGCGTAAAGAGATGATTGGCTGGATTGCTATGGGCCAGAACAGCAGTGGAGAGGAGGAGCAAGATCACTGGGAGGAAATGAAGGATACCAAAGGCCAGCAGATCTGCAGATGGCACACTTTGCTGGAATCCTAGGTGTGCCAGCTGGCATTTGTGGGCTATGTCTGCTTTGGTTACCTACGTGGCTGGCTACTGACACAAAGTCTAGTGTGTCCTGTGTCCTAGCAAGCTTTTCAAGCTTTCAAAGAGAGATTTACTAACCCTAGGACATTCTGAGTTTTGGGTTTCTTGAAGGTTTTATTTGAATTTAAATATTGTAATAGAAAACCACACACACAGCCAAGTGTACGACAAAGAAAATGTTACCATAGTTGAGACCACTGATGATGTGTTAATTTGTGCTAATACATTATTGAGTTTTGGTTCACACTGTGGGATGAAGCTTCCCCTACTGTCTCTGTTCACTTGGAGAGTAACCCGAGATTGCAAAGGAGCTGTTAAATGTTACTATTTGCGATAACTTAGGTGTATGAACAGATTTTTCTCAATGCAAAAAATTCCAAAATGCAGAAATGAATCAGATGCTGAGGCTCATAAGAAAATATAACTGTAATTCATAATCCTTTATTTCATGTTTTTCCCTTTGTCAAAAAAACCATTTACCTTAAAAGTAAATATTATAAACTTCTACTTACAAAATAAATTTGTATTAATTAAATACCTCGTTCATCTCACTTACATATAATGGTTTCTATCAGACTTTATTTACATGAATCATTTTTGAAACTAGAAAAGAGTTTAAAAACTTATTGTTGGTAAGAGTAGTTTAGAACGTGTAAGATTTCAAACTTGTAATTTTCAAGGTTTTTATGCTGCCTTTCTCACATAACAAATTCCTAAGAATGAGAAGAAAACCAACAACAACAGAAAAAAAACCTATTGAAGTCATGGTGTTACAAATTTTTCTGAATCTGGTGTTCTTTTGAGTTATATCTTTCTGTTGTCAATCATATATACTCAGACATGCATTTTGAATGTACTCTTGCATGTAAACCATGCTCATTTTCCATCTTTAGAATGTGATAAATTGTACACAGTGAGTCTTCAATAAATGTTGATTTGATTGGCTCTTGGAAATGAACATGTAAACACCTGAATGAAGAAATATTTTCAGCTTAGATGGAATGACACTAAGTTTTTCTTTGAGCATTTGAAGTGCCTATAAATGTCATTTTTTTCATGGTATTTGCAGCAACATATATTAGTCATTACTTGCATTCTGGGCATGTGTTATTTAGAACACTGATTTTGTGTGGTTATGAGCATGAAATTTTTCTTCTAACTTTTACATATTTATGCAGTGCATGTTTATTTTCTTTATCCCTACCTCTGAGCTCTTAATTTCAATTACTTTCAACTGGCAGTAATACAAAAAGAGAAGGAATGTACATTTAACCCAGTGCCCAATGTGAAGCTTTTCTGAGCAATTGCTCAGTCACTTATTTTTAGCTTTTATGTTTCATTGTTGACTTTTTCCTGTCTGTGGGAACAGTGATAGCTAGTGATGGATGTATACAGTCAAAAACACACAACTCCTCCTCCGCTCTACATTTTGACAGATTGTAAGTGTAGGCTGTAACACTTGAAGAACATATTTATTCCTTGCAGTGTGTAATGGTTATCCTGACAAGACCAGACTAGGGCAGAGGAGAACTCTACTATGATTTCAGGGTTCAGTGTTGGAGAGAAATGGTTTCCTATGGAAGAATGAGAATTTGCAGATTAAGTCTCTTATTTCATACATATGCTGCTCCGTTATGGGACTACGTAATGAAACCATGCTCCTTTGGGTTTTTACCCTACCTTTCTTTGGAAGACCTCAAAGTGCTTTTCCAGCATTATATCCATTAACTGCTGAGTGTGGCTCTGTCATTGAGTAGAACTGAGTGCGATTGATTAAGTCGTGGCACAAAGAATTGGCTTTTCACTTCCCTTACTCTCTTTATGCCTTGTGTTTAAAGGGAAGTAGAGCAGCCTCGTTATGCTTTCCTTCATGCAGTCGTATAATAGCAGCATTCACTTTAAAATTTACATGTGAAAAAAATCTGTATATATTGTACACACAGCCTTGGGTTTGTCCCCCTCATATTTTCTTGCTGTACATGTTGCCTGCATCCCCTGCTTTGTGGTGCCTAATAATCACCTGGACTTCAATTTCTGCTCCCTTGACCCACCCAGTGTTAAAGGTTTTCGGTTGGTGTAGTAAAGATATCCTTGTGTGCTTGATCTGCTTTCCAATAGTGTTCATATGATGCAGTTTATAGGAATGTGCAGCGATTTAAGGGAAAGGATGCCTGAAAAGCATTTTTTATTTTTATAACTTTTCTATGTTGGTGCTATTCACCATATAGGATGCATGTACATCTTGAAAATACAGCAACGTTCACCCTTAGCTGATTGTATAAACATAAAATTCTAAARACAAGATGCATTAAAATAGGAGGCTGATTTTTTTTTTAAACCTTGATTTGAAATTCTAGTTTAGTAAGATCTTTTGATTTTGGGCACTTAAACTCCCTTATTTTCTTGGCAAAGTCTAGACACAAATGCATCTAACATGTTTTTCACTTGAGCTTTTACATCTACATTTGCTTTTCAAAAGAGTTATGAAAGATAATTAGTTGGTTCTGCAGTGAGAAAGCTGCTTTTGCCTATTTTATCTAGCTAATGATTAATATCTTGTGGGGAGATTTGACATGGAAGCAGCCCTGATTTTTGTTGCATGAGTGGTTCCTTCAGAGATTTTTTTCCTGAAGAGCACACTTTATGAATAATATTGTTGAGAACAAATGATGTACCGGGTTTATAAAAATCTGCTTTGTAGTGTGCCTTCTTTCAAGGCAAGAGTTTACACTGAATTGGGAAATGTTGGTCTCACCAGTCATGGTGGTGGCTGTTGTACTCTCTGCTCCCCTCTGACTATTGTTGAATTTTTAAATAGACCATTCACCAGGCAGCTGAACACCTGCTCGCAGTTCCCTCGCCTTCACTGGCTCCCTGTGTGATGCACAGTTGTTTTGGACCCTGTTTTTGCTGATGCTGCATAACTGTCAGGGAGGTCTTGCCTTCTCTAAAATAAGAAGAATTTGTAATGCCTTTGGGTGTATTATCCTAAGCACTCCACCTGCACAAGGCCTGAGAAAGAATCCCCACCGTGTTTGCAAGGGGAAATGAGGACGGTGTTGCGTTGTCCTTCGCTTCAGACACTGTTAACTCCAACTCCCTTCCTTGACAGTTAAGTGATTGATCTCAAATGTTCACCTTYTCCATAGTGCTAGGTGCTACTAGGAAGTCTGAAACATATTTTTTGACAGTGTGTAGACCTCACRATATTTTACAAATTATTGTTACCTCTTGGTCAGTCACTGTGCTTTATATTGAGGCTACACTATATGATCTCACTGGAAAACCAAAACACTTTTCCTACCAAGTAAAGCATCATTTAAGTAAAAAACTACCATCAGGTTAAGAGAAAGTGCTTCTCTCTCCTAGCCACTAAATAGACAGAATTGACGGTTCAGTGTGGACATCAAACTGTGAATCCCTCCAAACCTAGATATCCTTTTGCAGCACAGAGGATTCAGTATGACAAGATCCAAAAAATAAGTAGAGAAGAATTATTTATAAGTGACATGAAACCAAATGGAGGCAGATTCTTTTTTTTTTTAATAAAGAAATAGGAGCAGAAAACACATGTGATAATCTCTCCTTACTTTAAATGAAACTGTTGTTTAAAAAAAAAAATTCCATTCTGTTTGAGCCAAGACAAAAGCAGAAAGCAAATGCTGGATAATCCTGAAATGGAAAGAGCATTTTAATTTGAAAAATGAATCATTTGTTTAAGCAAAACTATGAACAGAAACAACAAAAAGATCACACAACATAGGTATGGGAGAATTGAAGAAATTAATAATCTGAGTACACTTAGCATCCACCAGCATATATTCAGGAAGAATAAATGAATAAACCAAAAGACACTCAAGATTAACAAGCAGTCATTTTCCTACAACTTGTGGAATTATGTAAAATACTTAAAGATAGGGGAAATGAAACTGGTCTAATGTTGTAAAGTTAGCATAGACTGTATGTCTTAGCCAGGGTTGGAATGAAACTCAGCTAACTGTGTGGCCTTAAGAAAATTAATCAACTTGCCCATGGCCCAGTGTCTTTAACTGGAGAATGGAAATAACACCTACCTCATAAGATTTTTAAAAGAGAGATCAATGAAATCACAGTTGTGCCTAGCAAARAGCCTGGCACATAGTTAGTATTCAGCTTTTTCTCCTCAGAATCATGCTTGAAGTAGAAAAAAAAACTTTTAATATTTATTTCTTTTTCTAAGAGAAGTAATTTTAACAACAGAGAAAAACTCAAAACAATTTTCAGATACTCTGAAGAGGGCTCAGGAAGCCGGGCTGGATTTGCAAAGCAAGTAGATGTTATCTGAAGATAAGCCTAGTTTATGGAAAAAATTGAGTCTTAAATAGACTTCAGCAGAGGTAAAATAGAATCTTTGTCTTTTATCCCCTTAGTTTGGAAAAGGTACCTCATGTGTACATCTTAATAAACCACACAAAAGGCCTCCCCCTGCCCACAGCTCTGATGTCCATACATGGACAGGGCACCTTGTTGACCTCATCAAAATGCTGGTAAAGATGACAACTTGGCTACCTATTTCAATTTGATCTGAAAATGTAAAATGAAGTGTATAGCACTAAAAAGACAATCTTTTAAAAACAGACCCTTTTWAAACCAACATCTTAGGTCTTATATCCATATAGGCGAAAAATTTTAAATGGTCTAATAATACAAGCTATTGAAATTCATCTAACTGCTATACTGGGAGGTTCTACTCAGAGCGGGTTATTACTGTTATTACTTAAGAGCGAACAATAAAAGGAATTCTATCAGCTGACAATAATTCCTTTTTCAAGAGACTTTTAAGAGTGACTTGTTGAAAGTATGCTCAGTTGTTCTCAAGTGATTCATACTTTTGAGTAAAGAGGAGTGTTTGTTTCCTAGGAAATTAGAACAACCTTTGTTGACATTTGATCTGCAGAAGCAGTAAGGGACAAACTACCTCAAGCTTAGTGTCACTGGGTACCATGAACTGGCCTTGTGCTACTTGTGCTCCTAAGCTAATT